ATAATAAATCAGCATATTAGAATGATTTCTGAAGGATCATGTGACACTGAAGACTGGAGTAATGATGCTGAAAATACAGCTGCGCATCACAGAAATAAATTACAGTTTAATATATATTAATATAGAAAAACGTTATTTTACATCATAAAAATATTTCACAATATTACGTTTTTTCCTGTATTTTTGATCAAATAAATGCAGCCTTGACGAGCAGAAGAGACTCCTGTAAATAACATTAAAAATCATTCTGATCCCAAACTTTTGAAGGGTAGTGTATATGCCTTAAAATGTTCAATTAGTGTCATCAAAAGAGAAGAACACTTTTTATTTCAAGCCAAGTTTATTGCTTTTTACAACATTGTTTCAAATCAGCTTTATAGCAATTCATAAAGTTACTGTTTAAAATTAATAGAGCAGTTTAGAGCTGAACTATAGGATAGTTTACATTCAGTGACCATATAAACCAGATGAGATTTGCTATTAGTAAAAATGGCAAATGTATATGGCTAAAGATTGATATTGATATAATTCCTGTCGTTTGAAGTTAGTCATTCTTTTTGTAGTGATATTGAGGATTATGAGAGCTGTGGCCGGTTGCATAAACTGCTTAGACTAGCATTAAAAGTTAGACACCTAATTTTTCTTCAAGACTGGTCCTAACTTTTACATGAAAACTTAGATTGATCTCATTTGAATCTGAAAATTAAGACTGATAACCACTCGGTTAACTGCTAGTTAGCCAAACTAGTTCTTAAGACAGATAGTAATTAAGTTTTTCACGACACCAAAATGTTATTAAGGCAGTGTCCTACATAGACCAAACAATCCCAGAATGCATTGTGACAAGCCCAGGAATATATATTTTCATCCCAGGTGGTGGACTGATTTTTATTTATTTGTTTCATTTTATTATTTATTTTTATATGAATACATTTTTGGTTTCAGTTATTTATTAATTATTTATTTTTATATATTTATTATTAATTTTATATTCATTATTTTAGTTTTTATGTGCACACACACACACATATATATATATATATATATATATATATATAGGTAAAGTTTTACCAGAATGCCCTGCTCTCATGCTCTGTGTCTGTGTTTCCCAGAATGCCCTGCTCTCATGTTCTGTGTCTGTGTTTCCCAGAATGCCCTGCTCTCATGTTCTGTGTCTGTGTTTCCCAGAATGCCCTGCTCTCATGTTCTGTGTCTGTGTTTCCCAGAATGCCCTGCTCTCATGTTCTGTGTCTGTGTTTCCCAGAATGCCCTGCTCTGATGTTCTGTGTCTGTTCTCTCTCAGTTGTTCTCGTATTTCTGGGTGTCGGGTCCGGCGTCGCTCAACAGCACCGGAGAGCCGTTCTGCGTCCGAGCGTCCGTGCGTCTCTCCAAAGCCGTCTCTCCTGCCTTCGAGCTTCTGGAGTACGGCTCTCCTAATTATTCCACATGGACCGAGTCCCGCTGGAAGAGCATCCAAGCGCGCATCTTTCTGGTGGCCAGCAGAGAACTGGAGGTAACTCAGCCGGGGCTCTTAGAGTTCACCGAAACAAAACAACAAAAACATTTCCATTTCTTAAAATATAATAAACTTCAACTGAAATCAAATAAAATATAATAAACTTTAACTAGTCACAGCAACATTTTTCACCTTCGTTTAGATTAATTTGATGCACTAAAACTGAAATAGAATAATAATAAAAACTATATGTGACCCTGCAGCACAAAAGCAGTCTTAAGTCGCTGGGGTATATTTGTAGAAATAGC